TCCTGCTGACCAGGTTGACTATTGTTCTCATTAGCAATTAACAGGTAAAGGGACAGATTTGCTTCAGTGCCCCTACCAGGTTCAGCTCTAGTGCACAAGAAGGTCACACAAACACAAATACACAAACACGCCAACAATGATGATAACAACGACCATGAATCAGAGTCAAACTCTATCCCAAAGCCCAGAGCATTAACCACAATCAGCAGTAATTACAGTCATATTACCGCACCAAGCTTTGAAGCCCAGCAAGGGAGATGCTGCCTGCACCCCGTTCTTAGAGCGGAAAACGGCAGCAGTTGAGAGGAGGGCAGAAAACCGGCAATTCTCATGCTGCAGCTAAATCTGGGAGAGATCGTGAACTCCTACCTATTATTGCTTTTATGCTAGAAATTAGTCACCCGTTACATATCTTATAACCTATTAAGAGAAGAAAAATATTTATTTTCCTGCATCTTGGTTAATTCACATCCTATTTGACCTCTTCTCAGAAGCAGAGACCAAGTAACCCAGTTTAAAAAAAAAAAGTAGACTAAAAATTGAATTTTTCAATGCCACTTCATACAAGCACTAATTCTTTTCCACCCAGGTTGTTCCTCAGGTTAAGGCCAAATTTTTTATAAGCTTTGGCTATCTTTGAGTGAAGTTACGTATCACAGTTGAATTCATCAGTGGAAAATAGTAGGAGCAATTAGACTGGAGAATATTGTACCAGCAGTCAAGCATTTCCTTGCTTGCGCCACAAAAACTGAACTGGAAAAAGGACTACAGACCATCTTAGGTGATTTCTCCTTGGACAGATAAAATTGCCTAATCAATCTTTTTGATCCCTCTTCCTGCATGACTAACACATTAAACTCCATAATTCTCCCTCCTAAAAAAAAAATCCCTTCTGAAATTTCTTTGGCCTCAGGTATCTCAGGCCATGTGAAATTAACTAACTTGAATAGGTATACTTTTGTCTTTAAAAAGATTTATCACATTTGCTAAGAGTCAGCAGTAGAGCAGCAAAATGCCTTTAGCGTCTGACATCTACTGTTTTAGTAAAACAACCCTTAGTGGAAAGGAGAAAATCGAGGAGCTGAAACGGTAGAAGAGATCTATACAGCACACCACCCTGAAAGTTAGATAGGATTTTGCAGTTAGCAAATGAATTAATACCCAATTTAACGAGGAAGGGACTGTTATAATTTTAAGATGCATATAAAGCCATCACATTGTAAAGCATTGCAAGTACAGCTCACCAGTTTGTCTACTGCCCTGTCTTCTCTCATCTTTACTGTCTTCGGTGTCCTTCCAGGGGAGGGGACCCATCGGAGCCCCAGCACCAAGCATCTACCTTCTTGCAGGCTAACCTGGAGCTCAGCGCTGGAGGATGCAATCTGCTCCCAAGCTGCACCTCAGCCTCTTCTTTGCTCTTTAACCCTAGACTGAAATGCATTTTGGAAAACCACAGAGCAGGAGAGAGCTTAAGATGCTGTAAAAGCATGGGAGGTCTGGCTTTACCCACACTGGCAGGTCCCAGCTCCAAGCCCTGTCAGCGCTGCAGCTCCTGGCCAACGCAGGTGTCAGGGCACCAGCACAGGACCTGGAGGATCAGCATCACAGAAATAGGTGCAACAAGAACACTGCAAATGCAGAAGTAAGACTGTAGAAGACTTCCGTAAATAAGAAAAATGAAATTGAGAGCTTGGATTGGAAAG